TTTTTTCACACGTGATATATAGACGCGGAAATATGTGTAATCACTTCATATCGCGTTTTTCGTGGGGTGTTACGTCACTTCGCGTAAAACGGGCGAAATTTTCATCGAATTTGTATATTTTCTTCAGAGAGTTTTTTGTACATTACGGTCCCGGCTGCGATGTGAAGTGATTGAATCTGAAGAAAACAACAAAGTGCTCGGCATACACAGAGTGTTGAACGAGTGTTTGATTGCAAGGTAGTGGGGGTAATTTTGTGGCGCGTGACGGAATTTTCCCTCTTCAGAACAGTGTAGGGGGAAAATATGCACGACTACATGTGTCGGTGACAAAAAAGGGAAATTTTGGGAAATCAAAGTTTGTTTTTGAACATTCCTGCCTTGTCTACAGACTTGTATAAATAATGAGGAAAATTCAGAACTCGAATGAGGAAAGCGATCATATATTCCTCCAACACTGGAGTTTCACAACCCGTTTTACGTGAAGTGGCGTAATACTCTGTGAAAAACCCGATATGCAGTAGTCGTGAAATATGTTTTTCATATCACTAGGGTGGTGAAACTGCGCTGTTTCAGAGGATGCCTGAGTGCTTTCCACAAGTTTGATTTCTACGTCGATGGGCAGCTGATGACACAGTACCAAGCTGATGGGTTGATCATTGCCACTCCGAGTGGATCGAGCGCTTATAGTATGGCTGCAGGAGGAAGTTTGGTAATATGGGGAAAAATAATATTTTTTTTGCGGGAAAAAGGGGGAAAATCGTAAAAATTGAGCGCGATCGACATTACGAAATTATGATGAATATTGTAGCCTGAATGAACAGCTCGTGACATGTCAACTGTGTGAGAGTGATGTGATGGGAGTTTGTCGAGGAGTGGTAGGATGAGTAGTAGTGGAGTCGTTGACATGTTTATTATCATTAAGTTGATGCCATTCATCTCCGTGAAGTTGCCTTCGGTGTGAACGAAAGGGTATGTATGCATATGTAGATTTTCGAGATGGCTAAGTTCTTCAATTTGAGACTAGTACGACTATAGACTACGTAACGCTTCTAAAACGTTGGTATCAATCGATTCACATTGTTATCATGTTGATATTACTCAAAGTTGACTTTCGAACTCCCAAAAATTGAAGGCTAAGTTGAAAACACTATTTTGCATAACGGTTTGGCTGAGCGCACTCTAGTATTACTACCTTGAGAAAGAGTTCTAAAATTGCTGATTATTAAACCGTAGTCGAAGAGTAGATAACTAGAATCGTTTGGTTGATCACACTGTAGGTGGCTCCTAATGTACCTTGTATTCTGGTGACACCGATAGCGCCACATGGGCTGTCACAGCGGCCTCTGATTCTACCAGCGGGGGCGACAATAGAAGTAATAAAGCCGCATGTGTGATTTGAACCGGGGACCTATTGGTGTTGAGCAGGTTGGCATACCCACTGACTCACGAACGCTGCCTATAGCTAGTTTCGATGGTGCTACTAACATCGTACTTGATAGGGGCAGTAGAGTGAGAATTACCACAAGTAAGTGATGGGAGAATTTAGTGACAGTTCTGGGAGGGCTTCACACATGGAATAATCATTTTCTTCACAGTGATGTTTTTCCCCAGAAAATTCAAAGTTCACTTTTAACGAAGTGAACTGTGTCGAAAAGTGTAACTACTAATACAAAAATTTTTATTGAAGTATTCAACCTGATCTGGCCATTGCCACTAACATACATGAACAATAATATCGATCGCCTAATATATGAAAGAACCTTGGTGAAAAACGTCGAAACATTTCACATTTCACTTGACAAAAAAACGCATGTGAGCAGTGAATAACGCGGTGTAACGTGTAATTTACCAAGTGTTTTCAATTCATTTCATTTCGCGTAAAACGGGTGAAATTTCAATATCATCGCTCGCCCAGAATATCACGACTATACAGCGAAAAATGCATTTATGTCAGGTATGTCACCTGTCCCGTTTGTTTCTACTACCCAGCATCTCGACGATTGGTTCCACAGTCTGAGAAGTAAATTACATTGGGCACGAGAGCTCCGATAGTGAGTACGTTAGACTGTCCGACGGGCTTCCGAAAGGTCCCGAGGTCTATTCCTGGTTGTGTCAATTTAGTGATGTAACAATTTACCATTCATCCAGATGGTCGCGTTGTTGGGTTAGTGTTTGTCAATGGAAAGATCCGGGGTTCGATTCTACCCCTGGGTATTTTTAATATGAAGCTGCCTAATTCGACTGATAAAGCGATCAGTCTATTTCGAAAAATATATATATGGTTAATATATATATGTGTTGGTGACAATATGAAAATTCTGAGGAAAATTTGGGAAATTCTCGTCGGTTTTTGTACACTTCTACCCGAATTCGAATGACTAGGTTTGGAAATTCACGAGAAGGGAAAATATATTCCTCCAACACCGGTTCCAGCCGACGTCAGGTTTTTGGTCACTCTGTTTGGTCGAATTAAAATTTCCGTCCGAGCGTTCGGAGTGGCCAGAAGTGGACCTTCTACCACTGCTGCATCGCGACGCTTAAAAGTGCGGTTATCAGCGCTGGGCTCCGAAGCGAATGAAGTAAACAAAGAAGGCGAGAGGGAAAAGAAGAAAAAGCAGAAGCGACAGTCATCGCGGGTTGGCGATGATATTGATATCGGGAACTGCAAGACGGTGGCTGCTGAAGTGAGAAAAGAAATTTCCCATCGTGGAAGTCACTGAGCAGCTCTTGTGAGCATCAATTTGACGGAGCTTCATCTGTGGAAAACACTAGTGAAAAACATATTTCACGGTTCACTATGTCATCGGTGTTCGCGGCAACATATACGTCCTGTAGTTTACGTAGAGTAATACGCCACTTCACGTTAAACTCCAATGTATTTGGATATACTACGGTACAGCAGTTTCAAACGTGTACGTATATACGCGTGGTAGGCGACCCTGTAACTACGATCCGCTCGCTCCTGTGGTCAAAAGCTATTTCGTTGAGTTTAGCAATACTATTGAAGTTTCGGATAATTATAAATTTAGTCGGTAAAAAGTTGAAAATTGGGGAAATTTTGCGAAAAAAAGTGGGAAAATTATTGAAAATTTGGGGAAAATATAAAATTGTCCCGAAAATACTCCAGTGTCTGCTGCTTTGTACAGTGCGAACGAAAGAGTATGTATGCATATGTAGATTTTCGAGATGGTCAATTTCCTCAATTTGAGACTAATACGACTATAGACTACGTAACGCTTCTAAAACGTTGGTATCAATCGATTCATATTGTTATCATGTTGATATTACTCAAAGTTGACTTTCGAACTGCCAAAAATTGAAGGCTAAGTCGAAAACACTATTCTGCATAACGCTTTAGTTGATCACACTGTAGGCTCTGGGCGTGAGTCGATTAGAAGATGCGGTCCTCCACAGAGATGCTGATTTCATAGCGATTAATAAACCATGGGGTTTATCTGTCACGGATGGTCCGAAGGTTAAATATAGGTGAGACTCACATTACTCACGGGCTACTGCAATGTTTGCAGTGTATTGTCGTGGCATCACTTTGCTGAGTTTTGGGATTTGCGTTGGCTTTCCTCGGGGATTTCCTCACTAGTTTACACACGAGTTCGAAATTTCCTCAGAATTTTCCACTTTGTCACAAAAAACTCCCGAGTTTAGCTGAGGAAAAAAACATATATTCCTACTCCAACACTATTCTTCTCAGTCTCCAACGTCACCTGCGTGCATTTACATCTCCCTCTAGTTCGGAAGTGCCAATACTCATTCACCGACTGGACACTGCTACGGCTGGCGTACAACTGTTAGCACGACATAAATCAGCGGCTACTATGGCGAGAGATCGTATCGGGGCTAGGTGAGTGGGACTGGTGTGATACTTCAGAAACCAACAGGAATAATATCAGGGGGTAGGTAAGAGAAACTGTTATTATCGACGAGGCTACAGCTAATTGTGTGAGCTAAGCAATAATGGGGACAAACAGATAAGGGACAATACTTGTGTTATAAGAATGGCACATCACAACTGGGCAGGCTCTCATTGAAGTTTTAAATATAAATCCATATTATCAGTGGGGATATGATCACACAACTCATGCGGTGTGTACCAATTATGTGTTATTGCGTGGAACATCGTGAAACGCTTCGCTCCGCTGTCCTCGAGATGAGACGATTCCAGCGTGGATTTAAGAATGCCTTTCTCACGTGTTGAGTCCAATGGCTAGTAATTCTACCGATTAACATACCACGATACTTGTCAGATCATTCTGGAATCGTATTTACTGGGTGTTGGTATGGGGTCGAGTGCAGCTCGGTCCACGACAATTCAGTGGGACTATAAATATACCTCTAATTCACAGGTGAGAAATGTTGGTACGAGGGTGACCTACCTCTGGCAGCCAGGGTTGAAATGTGTGTGTGTGTGTGTGTGTGAGTTTAAAGTCCAACGCCTTCTACGACAGCACGGCTTAGTGAGACTCGCATTTATGGACATTGGTTCGAGGGATCAGTTTTAGCCTTTTAAATTGTCTACTTACATCATACCAATGAGTTTTGACCACAGGGCGAGATAACATCTGCCAATGTACTTCCTTTCCTCTGAAATATATGGTCGCTTTCCTCAGCTGAATTAGGGAGTTTGTTCAATAAGTATAGAAGTTCATATACGAATTAGGGTAGAAATGTACAGATACCAAGAATAATCTCCCAAAATTTCCTCAGAACTTCTATATTGTCACTACTACATGTGGTCGACCATGCGCATATTCCCCCCTTCCCCCTCCACACTGGTGGCTGCATCATCAGGGGTCATCATGTGAAACCAGCATCTTTCCACACGGCCGAGCTTTCTGCTATAACGAGATGGGAAATCCTCAAGTTTTCTCCTTTCGCTGGAGGAATAACCTTGTTGAAATTGGAGCCGTAAGTAATCAGTAACCACGGGTTCAGTATTGAATGAGAATAGATATACGGGCCGGCGAGATCAGTTGCAGGCACACTGTGCATTCGGACTGAGAACGCCCATTGTGGGTGATGACGTGTGAGCTGATATTCTCATCTGCAACTTTGATAATTGGTGTAGATACTCGAAAGAAGCAATTCGGTGGAACGATGCATATCCCGAAAAACACATGTTGCAACGCAAGGAAATGTTCGGCGAGGAGCTTATATGCAAACGCATGGTGAGTGGAAGTTCAACTTCCGAAGTTGTGATATACAATAAGAATGTTAAGTCATCTTTGAAATTAGTTTGGACATCAGCTGTAGTTACTATATCTCAAGTGTTGGAGTAGGAACATATGTTCGCTTTCCTCAGCTGGGCTCAGGAATTTGCAAAGCTAACATGGAAATCCGGAAGAAGTATACGAGAACCAAAAATTTCCCAAGGTTTCCTCGAAATCCCCGTACTGTCACGTAACACACGTAGTTGACCAGGTGCATATTTCCTCATAGCATGAGGCTCATAGTGGTTCAATTAAATGAGTCGACGTTTAGTATGGTTGTTGAATTGTACACTTGTCACTGAAAGGCCGGTCCTCTCCCATATCTTTCAGGTGTGTTCTAGACAGATTTCCATGCATTCTTTCGGTGGGGATCAAATAGACATTATAGCACCGGTGCCGCCACATATGCAGCAGATGTTCGACAAACTAGGATGGTAACTTTTTTGTATGAGAATGTTCCCGACTTTGCCTTGCGTGCAGTGAGCGTTGGTTTATTCATTTACAAGATTTTCCTTACAGAAAATAGCCTCCTAGTATGATAATGTTCCTGACTTTGTCAGTTGACTTTGTTGGTTTATGTCTAACTATATTGTTAATTGTTCCGTTCACTATAACTCACCAACCTTGATCCAGTGTTGGAGGAATATATGCGCGCTTCCCTCAGCTGAGCTCAGGAGTTTCCACACTAACCATAAGAGTTAATATACGAATTGGGGTAGGAGCGTACAGAAACTAATAAGAACCTCCAAAAAATTCCTCAGAATCCTTCATTGTTACCAACACATGGTTGTTGATCATGTATATGTTTCTCTACACAGCCGTGAACGATTATTGTTCACTTAATCGTTGGTTTATATTATACAGCGAATGTAATTTGTAGGTTATCAGGTACATTGAAGACTCGCAAACGGCTCGACCAAATGACTTATGGGATGCCATTGAGCTTCCAGATGAGGGACAAGGAGCTTCTTCAGCCGACTTAAGGTTGGTTACGGTTATCATTCTTTGCATATCGATAATTCAGGCCTACTTACGATGCGGAAGAGCCTTTAGTGTTGTCATCGACATTTGCCGAGAGGGAGAGACAGTCTCACAAGTCAACTGAGCTCAACTTTGCACGGCGGTATAATAAGCGAGTTACGGAGCGGCAAATGGAAAGGACTCAAGAGACTCGAATTGAGAGCGTATATGATGAGAGATGAGAGCATGTGTTTCTGAGAGATGCACTCCGTGGTGTTGCGTTGTTCGGGAGGAAGGGTAATTAAACCATGCTGTCGTGATATAATTTATATGTTACGAATCAAAATACGAGTAGTCAACACGTAGGGTAAACTCACTACTTGCCATCTGATGGCAGCCATCATGACCGTCACATTCGTAGTGAAACCTGAAGACGCGCTCGACGTGACCCGCAAGGATAGTCCGCACGTCTTCCGAAGATGTGATATACTCAAAAAACTCAGAAAATCATACGAAATCCATTGGGGAAAATCATTTCGAAATCTATGGTTTTCGAAAAACCATAGATTAGTAAGTATTTAGCTCACGTGAAACAACACCCTGAAATACATTGCCAATAATACAAAAAGCAATGACTATCAGAATGGGCCAGCCACGGATGCGATAAACATTGCAGATGATAATAGCATAAATAATCATAAACAACACAGACATCACCTGTACAGCATATTTGTTGCTTGGGGAGAGCCAACGCGAACACAGTAACCAAATAACCATTGCAGCAAGTATCCACCACAATCGCTTGGTAGTACCAAGCGATTGTTGGTACCATGAGTTCCAGCGTTGGCACTAAGTACGGATGTGTCAAGTCGGATCGTCCTAAATCCAACATGATCGACGAAGCTCGAAAACTCCGCATCATCAACGCCATTTGCCGCGCCCAAATTACGATCGTAGACGCAGTCCTCAACTTCCACAATACCATCGCCTAAAAAGCAATGGCCAACGGCTCCGAACCTTTCAAAGAGCGAAAGACATCATTCAAACGTAGAGGATCCAAATTCGGGAATGATAGGCTCAAAGCCAATAACCACATCGCCCTGAATAAAACAGAGCATACCTTCAGATGAGTCCCACAATTACGCAAAAGTGAATTGAGAAGTTCCACATTTACATATCCACTCTCATTCTTGGCGAATACGGACGATTGGTCCCGAGACCAACGTCCTTCAACACCGCGTGTGTCAGCGCCATAAAAGACAGCATAGCGAACAGAAAAGAAACGTAAAGAGACATTAGATGGACATTAGGTAAGTGGTTTATGGTTTTCGAAATCTCATTTCGAAAACAATAATATTGTTGCAATATGAAATCCAACCATACGTGATTTCAAGCAAAGCTTATCGACATACTCAGAAAACTGAACGGAGCTTTGATCAGCATGCATGGTTAGAACGCATGCCATTCCTGTCTGAGTTTAGTAATCTCAGTGGCATCCGAATAGCAACAAATGAGACTTGGCCGAGAAATCCACCTCAGCTTCATCCCGATGGAGCATCCCAGACGCTCCTCCAGATTGAGCGGCATACGAGTCCAAGCGAGCATGAACACTGACAGCCAACGAGTACATTACCATCATGTGCGACACTGCATAGCAAGTCATCGCTAAAAGCAGGATCCTACTCTTACCTCTCCCGTTCTCGTATTTCCCGGCAGCACGAATGACTGGCTCACCGCTCCCGACGTGAGCTAGCAGGTCCGGCCATTCCATGGCTTCAAAGGACATCCTACGACGCAGATTCATTTCCGAGCAATCTCCATCCTCACAACATCTACGCGACGTACCCTTACGGCTTACAAAACGATGTATTCTTCATTTCTTCGGGAGCTGCGCGCAATGCGATTATCATTTCTTCCAGTGCTTCCCAATGTGCTTCTCTAGATTGCTGAGATATGCAGCTTTTCTGTGGGTTTCTGGAGGGATGCCGAATTAGTCCCTTCCTCGCTATACACCCCTGGATAAGCCATCTCGTAATTGTCCAGCCTGGGGATATAATTCGTGATTCATGCAGTGCCTATCATGATACCTCATCTGTCGTTCAGTACTCCAGGAGTACTGACCGTATGTTACGACGTAACAAACCTGGACCTCCCAGACGACTCATATTAACAATACTAGCTCTACGATACTGATATATCCTACTAGGTTATGAGTTGTTACTTCGGGTCTACATTATGCAGACTACATGATACTCATTGTTAATAGTTTATACTAAGCAATTAATGCTATGAATTCTTCGACCACTCATCTCGCTGTGTGCTGCAAATTTCGTTTACTTTCAATGCTTTCCCGTAGGTTATAGCACGCTCCCGACTGCTTAGTGCCTGCTATGCTGCATTCGAAGCTGAGGTTTGAGAGGGTAGACAACCTTAGATATGTCCAAGCTTATCGCGAGTCATTCGGCGACCACGGGAAGGTCGAGATCCGTAACATGCTCAGTAGGTCAATATTAATCCAGTAACTCAATGAGTGGTCTATAATAACCAATGACGAGGGTGAAGAGGATTCACGTTCTGTAAGACAACATATTGATTCTGGTGGATGCTATGCCGATGTTACCGACTTGACCGCGGAGGAGATTTACCTAGAGGACAGCTGTGTGGGCAACTTTTTCGGTGATGAAAAGCTACCCAGGTTCATGGGGATTCCCCATTGGGGAATGCTGGCAGCATTATGCTGCCTTCGAGGAGCAGTTGCAGAAGAGGGTGGAACTCGAGCTTAAGCGATATCTCACCCTGTGTTGTCATGACGTATGATGGATTTTGAGAGAAAGCTAAGAGTACATTCCCGCTGTCATCAGAAGCAGCTATCTGTGCGCAATTCTTTACTCTCGCTACTAGCTCGTGCGAGAGCATTTTCAGTCGTGCACGAGATCAGCTTGGTATGCGTAAAACAGAGCTGAAGCCAAATACTCTTGAATCAGTGTTGATAATTCAAACCACCAATGCTTTCGAGAAGAGCTCCGTGAGGAGGTGACCAGGATGATCCTGGCAGGATCTGATTATCAGATCACAATAATGGACTCTGCATCTACAGTTCGAAGACTGAGATGAGCAGTCTCTCTGCGATTAATTTATCCATCGGACGAGTTCGACTTCTGTTAGACCAGAACTACTACCAAGTTAATAAGATCGTCCCTCGGAAACTCGGAATCCTAGTGCCTGCGTTGAAACCCCTTCAACTTGAATCTTTCCATCTCTGAGAGATGATATCTCGTGCAGAGATTGTATCAGCAAAGAAACGACTATCCTTGATAACAAATCAGCTTATTCAAATTAGTTGATAACCAATTACGTGGGTAGAAAGAGCGCGCTTTATGAGAAGTTCTCGGAGAATTTTTCCGAGCGAGTCTCGGCGAATCTCGCCGCTCGTCTGAGAGAAATATAGGAGACCGCGCTCGCTCGTCGGTCGGTCGCTCAGCGAGCGAGCGCCGAGCCGCATCGAGGCTCGTCTCACACGCAGATGCCCGTGCCCAAGTTGAGCACGCACTAACCTGTGAAAATGTAACACAATAGGATCTCTAAGAGAACCCAACTCGACAGAAATAGTCAAGAAGGATCGAGTCGACTCGACTCAGTCGAGTAACCCACGGAAAAGCCACATTGAGCTGTGACTTCGAGTGGAGCGAAGGGATGAAGAATCGGCAAGGTGGAGAGCGTGAGGTGCCGCAAGGTACCCTTCCCAGCGTCCGTAGCTACTTGACGTTAAGGTTCGAAGGACCAAAAGGGTCTAATTTAGACCTTTTAGACCGTCTTAAGTGCCCTTATGAGATCATTTCACGTGAGGAGCGGAATCGGTTTATTCCAAGCAATAGCTGTTATCCTAAGCATATGTTATCGAGCTAAGCATACCTTGCAGTTACAAGCACCTTCTTGTGTTTGGAAAAGCAAGTTTAAGCTGCTTCAGTTTACCCGATTTACCGTTAATCATTGATTAACGGTAAATCATGATTAATAATCAATCTCAAAATACCAAACACAGTCCTGTAACAGGACTCCTGTTATGATCAAAAATGTTCTCAGAAACGTTACGGCAGCGTCCAGCCGATATCTGAACTCAGTACATGTACATGTTGCGCATGTTCCACTGTGCAAATAAAAAATAGTATCTCGCTTGTC